GTCCACCATTCCCCCAGAGAAAGAAACTAAGATTGAAAAGATCATTGGCACAATTACCCTCTTTGATAATAGCAAAACCTACATTCTTAGAGGAAACCCTCAACTTGAAGGACCAATTCTAAAGGCAAGAAACTTTGAAACGAGAAGCATATCCCCCAAAGCAAGATTGAAGCATGAGACTGACCGAATCCTCATTGATACGAAGTTTAGAGTGAGTCACCTCAGCCACTAGGAAGAATTCCTTGAGTTTGCCGCCTTCAAAGTGGTTGATAGGCACACCATATTGTTTCCAGATGAAAGCTTCAGAGGCCAAACCTTGCTCGAACTTGAGATCTGAGAGGGCCATCTTGGAGGAGGAGGGCGTGCACCGAGCCTGGGATGGTGGCTACCAGCGCCGGAGTGGCGGCCGGTGGGATTTGTGGCCACCGCGGCCGGAGTGGCCAGCGGCGCAGGGAGGGGCTAGGCGCATGGAGGGGCTAGAGGGAGTCCGCCAAGTTGTAAAACTTCAGTTAGATGCTTAATCTTCGCCTTGTGCCACTAGAGTTGGTGCGATGGTGTAGTCTCAGATTGCCGAGGATATCAAAGGATCTATATATAACCTTTGTTAGTTGTTTGACTTATGTGTAGACGAGTGTCATGGCTGGTCGCTGGAACACTTCGTTGTTGTTTTATTACTGCCTTTAGTCTCCTAACCGTATTCATGGCAACCTTCCGGTTGCCCGACGACCTATAATGCTACAACAAACTCACTTAAAACTTTCTTTGATTAAGTCTTCCGCTTGACTGGCTAAAAAGTAATTTAGTGTTTCAGCACATCATAAACTGAAAACAAATGAAGAATACTGCTTATAAATAAGTAAAAACGACGCTCGACATGCACAATTTGTTAGGAAGGCTGACTTGTACATAAAGTGTAAGCAAGCTACCGCATTCACGCCTTCATTTGACTACCGATCAGGAATGTAAGCTTACAAAAAGCCTTAGAAGTATGTTTGCATGTCATGTTTTTGGCCTCTAATCCCACACCATATTCTTCGAAGATTGAGGAACAAGAGGATATATAATAAAAGAAACCTTTCTTAGAGAGAAAACTAAGCCGCTAATGTTCGGTTTGGATAAGTAAAGTCATGTCGAGAGTCAATTCGTGGGACCCAAACACCCTAGCTTCGTGGAAAGACCAGAATGGGTGTGAAGCAGATGAACTTTATATTACAATGGTCTCTACCATTGAGATGTCGCCATCATCGACACACAACCCTAAGACAGAAGAAACTTAGTCCTACTCTTCAAACAATGATGCATGGTTAACATTGCCTCCGTGCACTCATAATGGCACTAAAGGGCAAAGGAAATTGGTTTACAAAATAGAAACATTGTTGTGCTCCTCTCCATGGTGACTAGGGTTTGTGGTGGTTGGTCAATCATTTCGCATGAGCTCTATTGCTCATGTTTGTTCCTCTTTGTTATGTTGTACTGAATTTATTGTATTAATGTAGCCAGTTTGTCGCTGAAACCCCCATTAAAGTTGGTTTATGAAGAAAAAGTTAACGGAAATTTACTTCACAAACACAAATTTAAGTCTCTCTCAAGAAAAAACTAAACACAATATTTCTTGTCAAAAAGTAGGTGCATGATATGATTAAGTGGACTCACGCAATAGATATGATAGAGATGTTATCCTAAATAGTTGGGTTGGGTCTTTAGAACTAAATCAACAACTAACTACAAGAAAAAATGAAAGGAATCGTGGGGTGATTGTTCAAAGTTGCTCCGATCGGCGTAGAGAAGGTACCAACCATATATAAAGTTGACAATAAAACACATTATACAATAGTATCCTTTAGTGACTTTTCTAAGAATTAATGCTTATATTTGTGTACTATAAGATAATCAATGCTTGCATCCGCTAAAATTCTATGGTGATTAAAAAAAATAGAATTCCGGACTTTAACGTAGCGATGCTTGCAAGATAGGCATGGTGAATCCTCCAAAACCCGGACTCTTTGTGTGGCCAGGTTTTGCAAGCAAAATACTTCCCCCTGCGGGAACATCTTGGAAGCACAACCAGTCGCAGGCATGAGTTATATTTTGTGCAGTATTCTTAAGGGTGTCGCTTTTGTGAAGGAGGGCATGATATGGAGAGTTGGCTCAGGTGAAAATATAAGAATCAGAAATGTTTGTTAGCTTTAATCATGGTGGCTGGGTAGGAGCGCTCTTTCCTAACGGTTGTTGGTTAGCTTTAATCACGGTGTTCATACCGTGAGAGGAGCTTCTATGCCTATGTCGTTCAAACCCTGAGAGTGGTTTTTATGCCTATGGTGTTCAACTCAATTATCACTGTTGATTGTCTGGATAGCTTATCAAACATGCCGCCTGGTCTTATCGAACATAGTTATATGTCCTTTTTTCACGGAAAAACTTTCAATCTATTCATCATCGATCGTACTATAAGCATTGGAAATAATAAAAATTACAACCAGATGCATAGACCACCTAGAGACGAGTACAAACATTGAATGAGTCGAAGACGCGCCGCCATCATCACCCCTCCCTCACTGGAGCCGGACAAAACATGTTGTAGTAGACAATCTGAAAGTCGCCGTGCTAAGACTCCATAGGACCAGTGCACCAGAACAGCAACCGCCGCTAATGAAGAGAAGCGTAGATCGAAATGATTCAACCTGAAGACACAATTATATGTCTTTTGTATTCTAATAACACATGATGTTTGTAGTTTCCCGCACAATAATCATCTAAATGAAGCATGGTCACCCTCCAATTTTTCCATCAAAGATAATCCTCTCATTTTGACCTTTAGCATCATGCGCTAGTTCGTGTTAGTGCAAGCAAAACATTATCGTCAGCATGCACGCACATACATATACGTGAACCTAAATAAAAGGAAAGAGACCAAAGGCAGCTCGACGTGAGTGTCCGAACCACTACACCGTCGTCCATCCTAATCCGCAGTACAGAAACCACAAACTTAATTAGCAGCCAAACCTCCATCACAAACCTCCCATGCATGGCTCGCGCAGGTCCATGTATTATCTTAACCTAATCCGAATGCCACTCGTTAGTGGAACAATCGCCCATGGCCATCCGTCTCCTTCCACTACCTTGTTATTTCCTTAATCTCTTTCGCGGCGTTCTTCCTTTAGTTTGTCCGGCTCTTCAGCATAATGCGGCTAGTTTAAGCTGGCAGATGAGATGGGGGTTTTGAAGGACTCCAAATTGCACTAGAATAGCTTGTGTTCGTGCGATCTTAATTCGGTCAGAGCATGCCTTGATCAAAAGGTACAAAATATTTTGGAGATATATACCAAAAAATGAAAAATAAATTATCTTTGCACCCCTTCTTGGGGAGCTACTTTGCTTTAGAAGGAAAATGCTGACCAACTGGCTTTAGCACTGTTTGGTGTCTCATATATGTTTAATCGTACCAATAGTTGGTTTTCTATGGATTCGTAGCATGTTTAATCATGCAAATGGCTGTGGTTGGGTTTTTATGTACCATTTGGTTCACTTGAAAAATCTGAAATAACAAAAAAAAACTATACGATCCAATAGTCATTTTTTTCACGAGGAAATCCAATAGTCACTGTGATGCACGTAACCATTTTTTATTAAAGAGCAACGCAAGTTCAAAGCAACGAAAATTCAAGCCAAGCTCAAGAGCTTTTTCAGACTCGTATATTTTAACACTTAACACCAACTGTTTGTGATGCCTACCCGAAGTCCACTCACCAGTGAAGGACAGCCATTCAAAACAGAGCAGAACAAGGGGGGCGGTGATAAAAAATGACTTCGTGTTTATTATCTTATCCATCCAATCCAATTCTTTTTGGCATCCCTCCAAAGGGAAAGTCCCAGTCAGCTTCTGGTTTTATAATCAGTGTCAACGTAAAAGCTCAGCCGGGTGAAAGGATTGCCCTAATTGGCACATTTAAGGTCGTATAAATCACCATCAAGTTTGACCGCCTGTTTTATTTTTCTGCGGCCAGAGGACTCGGCAGCAGTGAGCTATGAAGACGACACGCACGTACTCTACGCACTAGGGATACGGATACCCAACTCTGCAGACCTGCTCGGGCAGCCTTCAGCTTTTCTTTTGCGGCCGGTTTTGCTCAGGCGACCGTCTCACTTTTCAGCCCTCGAATTGAGAACCTCCAGGCCGAAATTTGATTGGCTGATGGCTGACAATGAATTTCGCCCGAGTCCTAAAATATTTGATGCTGACAATGAATTTCGCCTGTGTTGAGATCGCCTGGATCGATCCCACCAAACCCAAACCTTCCATAGTGGTACCCAAATTTAAACCAAGAGGATATGAACCTGGTATTGCACCTTCCCTCGCCCACTCAGTTGCTGTCATCTCAGTTCCTCCGTTCGCTTACAATTGGCATCGAATTCGATCAAACATTTCCGAGAGCATCCGGTGAAACACTGATGCAGTTACCATGAGCAGCAAGGGATCCGAACCTGATCAGACAGGATCCTCAATGCAGCTGGTGGATGGTGGCAACATGAGCTACCCATGTCCAGCTGATCCCAGCAGCAGGATCTTTGACTGGCACAAGTGATTGACCAGTACTTGAAGCTAAGATGACTAGACTGCAATGATGTAGCACTTTGCAGCATGATTCCTACACACCACTCATGCATGCAGTCAGTGCACAAGAAAGGCGTAACAGATTGGGCGGCAGATTAGTTTGTTTGTTTAGGCACAGTGGTACGTGGCTAGCTAGTGCTTGCACCATGCTGCAGCATGGAACAGCAGCAGCTTTGCAAGTGGTTTCCTTATAACCATTAAAAAGGTGATAACAGGAGGCGAGGTGGTGACACCATGCGTAACCGGAACTGAACCCGATCGCCCCCAGTTGGGCAAAGCCCCCAACAACCACCTGCATCGGCCGAATGCTAGTGCCGTCCGTTCGTGCAGTGCGGTGCCCAATCACCCCTTCTGCAACCAAAAGCTAGTGGCGTCTGCGCGGGGCCACATGTCCGGTCATATCTGTATATATGTGTGCAGCGCCCTGTGCCTGCATTGGACTGCTCAGAGCAACACATTTAACACTTGCAAACTGTACAGAGAAGGCATGGAGAGGGAGATTGGTCCAGAGTATGAGCTGAACGAGATAGATGGCGGCACGTTGCATGGCTCTGTGGGGAGCAGGCTCTCCCTGTTCGCCAGGGAGTTCAAGTGGAGAAGCAGCAGCTGGCATAGCAGCAGCGCCTTGAGGCTCCCCAACAATTGCTATGGCAGCAGCTTTGTCATCGACCCCAATGGAAGGTACGTCCGTAAGATAGTGCTTAGAAGCCAGATAGTGCTGAAAAAGATGATCCAAATGTTGCATTCAAAATCAATGACTATTAACTGAGTGCTGGCCGATTAGAGAAGCTCTGCATGAGAACGATGAGAGATGCATACCATGCAGAGGCATGGAAGCATGGAGCTAGCTAGGCAGCCATGATTCTTGATGTTGAACGTGCTCTGCTCTGCTCTGCTGCAGATGGTACAGGATGTGGTCGAACATGATGTTCCTCTGGTCCATCTACTCCGTCTTCTACACCCCCTTCGCCTTCTGCTTCTTCCGGGGCATCCCCGAGCACCTGCTGGACCTCGAGTGCGTGCAGCTCATCTTCCTCGCCGACGTCGCCGTCCACTTCTTCCTCGCCTACCGTGACCCTCACACCCACCGGGTGGTCTACGACCAGCAGAGGATCGCGCTACGGTCAGAGCCTCTCACAATGAACTCAAAACGGAATGACATGTTTCTGAATTTCTGAAAGTGTTCTTGCCTTTTCAGCTACATCAAGGGCAGCTTCGCTCTCGACATGCTCGGATGCTTCCCCTGGGACGCAGTCTACAAGGTAAATTAACTTGGTTCACAATCTCAAGAACCAGTCCGATCGACATTTCTGCATCGGAAAGAATGAAAAAGAAGTTGATACACACACGAGACACCATGAGTCCATGACACCATTGCTGGCTCCTTGCGTGATCAGTTTACGGGGAGGATGGAGGTGGTGAGGTACCTGGTGTGGCTGCGGCTGTACAGGGCGAGGAAGATCCAGGGCTTCTTCAAGAAGATGGAGAAGGACATCCGCATCAGCTACCTCTTCACGCGGATCGCGAAGCTGGCCACCGTGGAGCTCTACTGCACGCACACCGCCGCCTGCGTCTTCTACTACCTCGCCACCACGCTGCCCCCGGCGCGCGAGGGGGGCACCTGGATCGGGAGCCTCGCCATGGGCGACCAGAGCTACATCAACTTCAGGAAGGTCGACCTGCTCACCCGCTACATCACCTCCCTCTACCTCGCCATCGTCACCATGGCCACAGTCGGTAATAAGCATTCTCGACGCCATGCATGCCCCATGTCGGTTGCAGTTCTTGATCTGACACAAGAAAAAAACATGTGCAGGCTATGGTGATGTGCATGCGGTGAACCCGAGGGAGATGGTGTTCATCGTGGTGTACGTCTCCTTCAGCATGCTGCTCGGCGCCTACCTCATCGGGAACATGACGGCGCTCATCGTCAAGGGGTCCAGGACCGAGCGGTTCCGGGACAAGATGACGGAGCTCATCAGGTACATGAACAGAAACCGGCTGTGCAGCGACATCAGCTCCCAGGTGAAGGCGCACCTGCTGCTGCAGTACGAGAGCAGCTACAAGAGAGACAGGATCGTCGACGACATACCCGCCGCGGTCCGACCCAAGGTACTGTTCAGGGCTTCAGGCTAGTTTTTCTCTGACCAAATAAATTTTCTTTTTGGAGCAACTTTAATCAGTTTGAGCATTTTGTTTTAAACTTCTCCCAGACACTGTACCTGGAAACGGTCTCAAAAGTGCACCTGTTCAGAGGATGCTCAGAAGACTTCCTGAGCCAGATTGTAAGAACTTGAGTAGACTCATGCTTGTCTCACTGCAGTTTATCTCAGGTGGACAATTCATCTAACTCTTCAGTTGATGGTTTCAGGTGGTTAAAATACAGGAAGAATTCTTCCTCCCCGGGGAAGTTATTTTGGAGCAAGGCACTGTAGTGGATCAGATATACATTGTGGCACATGGATGTCTGGTACTACTTTTCACTGAATTTTTCTCCATAAACCAAGAGAAAACACAACTCTGCTGTATTGCTGACCTTCACCTATCATGTCCCATGTGATCTTACAGGAAGAGTTCGCCGCCGCCGGAGAAGGCGGATCAGAAGAGATCGTCTCAGAGCTGCTGCCCTACGACATAGTCGGCGACGTCGCCGTGATCTGCAACACTCGACAGCCATACACAGTTAGAGTCAGTGAACTCTGCAGCCTCTTGAGAATTGACAAGCAGTCCCTGACTAGCATCTTGCAAATGTACCTCAAGGATAGCCGTCAGATACTGAGCAACCTACTCAAGGTACATCCTAATTTAGCAGTAGAATCATAGTAAATGTTAGCATTTCGACGCAAAAAGATTGGCGGTACTGAAGCATTTCTTCTGCAGGGGAAACGAACAGAGTCAAAGGGGAAGCAACTAGAATCAGATATCACATACCTTATAGCAAAGCAAGAAGCTGACATGGTCCTTGGAGTCAACAATGCTGCCTACCATGGAGATTTGTTTCGGTTGAAAGGCTTGATCGGTGCAGGAGCAGATCCGAGTAAACCGGATTACGACGGGAGGACCTCCTTGGTACGTGAACCTTTGCAGATCAATCATCAGTCAAATTACTACAGGAGTTCCACATGCTAACTAGTACTACTAAAAGTTAACTGCAAAAATTATCAGTCAAGATTCTATTTGCACAGTAACAACTCTTCAACTTTTCCCACATCTTTTCCTTGCAGCATGTGGCTGCATCAAGAGGATACGAAGATATCGTCAGGTTCCTTATCCAGCGAGGAGCAAACGTCAACAGCATAGGTGCGGTTTCCTTTTTCTTTTTCTATTTACAGAAGCAGTTCAAAACAGTAGTATGAAGCAACTAACACACACATCTGAAAATGCAGATAAGTCTGGGAAGTCGCCGCTGCTGCAAGCGGTGAAATCAGGGCACGAGAGGATCATCTCGCTGCTGGTGGCGCACGGCGCGGCGCTGAACCTGGAGGACGCAGGAGGCTACCTGTGCAGGGTGGTCGCCCAGGGCAAGATCGACCTGCTGAGGAGGCTGCTCAGGTTCGGCATCGACCCCAACTGCAGGAACTACGACCGGAGGACGCCGCTCCACGTAGCCGCCAGCGAGGGCCTGCACCTCGTCGCTGGGATGCTGGTGGAGTTTGGTGCTGACCTTGTGGCCGCAGACAGGTGGGGCAACACCCCGCTCGACGAAGCACAACGGTGCGGCTGCAAGCCGCTGGTGAGGATCCTGGAGCAGGCTAGAGCTGCTGCTGCTGCCGATCATTAGGTTCATCAAACCATTTGGCTGTAGTTCATGTAGGCTAGGGGTAGGAACTATTATTGGCAATCCAATATTCTTTCTGAGAGCATCTATCACGGATTCATTTCAAAGAGAAGTAGCACCCCAGATGCCATCGCAAAGATGTGTATCCAGTGTGAGAGTAACAATGGCAGGCAACAATGGCAGGCAGAGCAAACGGATGGCATGTCAATTCACTAACCAACCATTTAATTACTAGAGAGGTGGGTTTTCACGCTCAACAATCCATCAAAACTACTCCATCTGTTCCTAAATATAAGTCTTTGTAGAGATTTCATTATGAACCACATACAGATGTATATAGATGCATTTTAGAGTGAAGATTCACTTATTTTACTCTGTATGTAGTCCATAGTGAAATCTATACAAAGACTTATACTCCCTCCGTCCGGAAATACTTGTCATCAAAATGGATAAGAAGGGGTGTATCTAGAACTAAAATACATCTAGATACATCCTCTTTTATTCATCTTGATGACAAGTATTTCCGGACGGAGGGAGTATTTAGGAACGGAGGGAGTAGAAAGCAACAGATGGCCTACTCATACTACTACCAACATAGTACAGTACTACCCGTACTATGTCCCCTCAGATGATTTTGATTTGAAACGGTGTCAAAATTCAAAAAAAGGAGCACCACATTGGGATGTTTGAACCCAAGCCAACGGCCTGTACAAAGCCACCTCCTGTCCCCATCACCAGCCAAAATCCTAACATGTCACCAAGATAACGCAACAGCGGAGCAAACAGCATCGTTGGGAAATGAGAGATTTCCCATGGTTCAAGCATCACCAGTCACCACCATCACGAGTCGGAAGCTTTCATCATCACCGCTATATCGAGTCAGAAGCTTTCGTCGTGGCTTTGTAGCTGCAACCAGGGCACATGTAGTCCTCGATTCCGTTCGCCATCTCAGTAGTCACGCCAACACACTTGCCGTGGAACCACCTCTGACAGTGGTCGCAGCCAATCCATAGGTGCCCGTCGTTAGCGCTGTAGATCTCGTCGCAACCGGCACACTTGGTTATAGCTTGATCCTCGCCGCCCCCACCCTCTTTGCCACCATCCTCCTCCTTGAGCATTGGCCGGTCCTCCATTACCTTCCAGCTGTTGAAATTGGCGTAGTAATCTTCCTTGGGCATCGGCAGGGCCGGTGTCACCGGCTTGCAGTTAGAAGTGAATTGGTTTGGTGGCTGGAATGGGATGCAGAATGAGTGATAATTGATAAAGCCTGTGTTTGATATGTACAACAAATAAGGAATGTCGTGTGGTCAGCGCATGTTAACCTGGGAGCTGGACTTATTTTTCCTGCTGCCGTTGGGGGTCTGTGCTTGCCTCTCATAGCTTCCTGTCACAGCTTCATAGACAGTGGGAAGACGATTGATCAACCTGAAGAGCTGTTCCCTGCAACCAAAATACAAGTGCCACTTCAGCACCATTATCAAACTCCATGATAGCAATCAGTACTTCGTTCCAAACTAAACACCGTACTCCGGATACACCTATCTAGGCTGGCATAGAAATGACATGCATCACAAAACAAGCTCCGTTCAGAAGCAAGAACGTAAAGGAGAACCAATGCCACATAGGTTCAGAACCCAGCACTATCATAGCAACTTTAGAAGACAGCAGCAGTTCATTAAGTAGGTATGATGGTTTATCTCAAGAAGTTGCACAAATCTGTCAGCATGAGTTGAAGTGAAAAGCAAATTGGTCCTCCAAGTTTGGTTCTTAGACAAGAACAAGCAGGAGGAATGTTGCCCATCTTACCTAAAGAAGGCCAAGTTTAAAAAACACATTACATCTAGCCCATTTTTGCCGAAGACAAAATGAATGGCTTGAAATGATAATGACAATACTGCAATCTATGCACCATAAAAAATGTGAAACTGTTGCAAAATTATCCGACAATCATGACATATACTACCTCCGTTCCTAAATATAAGACATTTTAGAGACTTGTACAGAGGGAGTAGAAGATACTTTAGGGGATATAAATACAATTGAAAATGTAAATGATGAAGCATTCGTCGATTGAAGTTAGAACATCACTATAGACAGTAAGAAATGCTTAAATACTGATGATTTCTTGAAATATACAGCAAGCTAGATAAGAATATCAGTACTGATACTTTCCACCAAATATAACATCCTCAGTACTGCTCCACTTACCATTTTGATCAGCTTTTTTCTTTGTTCAGACATCATTCAATTAGTAGAGGTTTATATTCAACTAGTGAAAATATTCAAATATTTATCAGAACACTCTGCACTTGTTGGGTTACAAGAATTGTAAAGAGGTGTATGCACCTAACAACTAATTCTAGGCTCTATGAGAAATAAGAAGGTAAAAGGGAGAAAAGGCATTTAAAAAAATAAGGTCCATTATCTGAGTGAATTATGACAAAGATTAGCAAAAGGACCTAAGACTCACAGATTTACATACATTACAAATTCACATTGAGATATTTCCAAATGAAAATGAAATGAAATGTATGACACGGTGCTGAACGTCTTTGTGCATAGTAAGTTGTAGTAGCAAGCAAAGTATGGACTGTATCATGCAATACATTCAACACATAGAATGTCCTGCTTGGAAAAGAAATTGATTGTAAAAGAAAAGAAGAAATATAGCGTTTGCAGTAAAGAAAAGCAGCATACCTGCCAGCTCTGTCAAATGAGACACGACCCGCGTGGTAAAATGCTATGGACATTAACCATGCATCACTATGAATAGCTATCATAGATAGCCAAACTTTCTTGGGTGTAACATCACGAGCAAAGTTTATCCCACATACTGGCTCAGGAAGTTGAACAGGAACCTCCTCAGGTAGTTGACTCACTTCCCAGGTCCCATCAGGCAGTCCAACGAGGCACAAGGCCTTCTCGTCTGGCAAATAAAGGGTCATCACAAGTCAGAGTTGTGCCTACGAAGATGACAACTTTGTTCATTCCACAAGTAACCCAGAAAACGACATGACACAAAATGAGCATGCTAGTGCATGCAGTATCATTAATTTAATGAAAACCCACAAGCACATACAAGCTGATGCCGACACAGAGTACAGCAACACTACGCATTTTGCAGTGACACCCAACTACTGACAGAGGCAATTGGGAATTCGGGACTTCCAATTCTGCAGCACAATCCTTTGGCCACTCAAAGCTCAACAGGCCATTTCAATTTACCCGCATTGTTAGTATTCATGGCAATTTCTCCAATTTACAGCTGAATATAAGCAAAAGTGATGGTTAAATGTTCTGGTAGCGCAATCAGATAAGGCATACAGAATTTCCATTGCACCATATTATCACCAAACTCGTAATTCTCCCCTGATTTGACTCCCCAAATTTTAAATTTGACTCATCACTCATTAGCAAATTCGTTCCATCGGAGACTACCGGAATTACTTCATCAATCATTCCACTGGTAATGCAACGAAAACTGCCAATATTATGGAATCAGCAACTACATCGAGCATCACGAGGCAATCAAATAACGTCAGTGAAACTACATATTATTATTAACCTTGGGGTTGCCTATGTACATATTTCTACCTGCTAATAGATGGAAACCACAAATTCCATCTCCCCCAAAATCAACATCAGAAGAAGTAAGGAAACTCACCGGGGTCGCACTGCTGGTAGAACTCCTCCACATCTGCGGACCAATAAACAAATAAAACCAACCATCAGCGTGAAAAAAACCCGCACCAAAATCCACGCCAGAGAGGGGGGAGGGGGGACCTTCGGTGAGGGCCTTCACAATGCCGGCGCGGCGGCCGCGGTAGTGCCCGAAGACGAACTCCGGGGAGTGCCCGTTCGGGTGGACGGCAGGCGAGAGGATGCCGTCGGCCATCGCCGCCACACAGTGCGCGGCCAGCCGGAAATAGGGTTTTGATGGTGGAGGGGGAGGGGATTCCACTACTTGACCAATCAGAAGGAGCAGAGAAGCCGGGTGATTTATTACGTTCGTGGCTTCGCGAGAAAGCCGCAATTTGAGATTTTGAAAGTTGGCGAAGTGGGGCCGGGTGGAGATCATGAGTCCCCCATCTTTACGCCTGACTGTGAAGTCAGCTGTATTTTTTTAACACAGTGCCACAAAGGCAAGCGCTCATATATATATACTATAATTCGAGCCTGTATTCATTTTACAACAAAGTATTTCGTTACGTGCACATACAACAAAGCAGCCTATAAGGACACAAGATCAAATGTGAAAGAAGTCGGGCAATGATGTTATTAAAATTAATATTTTTTTTGAGAAAGAATCTAACATCTAACATCTAACATTTTTAAGAAATTGATCCCCACTACTACCTATTCTTTTATCATGCACAATGTCCACATCAACAATCAACATGCAACCATCCATCTCTTTTCACCTAAGCAGTCTAGCCAAATTATCTATTCCATCGTGTGATTTAGTTTTCCTTTTCCTCTTCCTTTTGTAACCGATGAGAAATCTTAAGAGCCGTTGATTCGTTACGCTACTAGCAGGAGAACCCACCAGGCCACTACAGGCTGCCCACACGGGTGTTTCTCTCCTGACAACCTATCGCTCCCTTTCCCCTCGGTGCAGTCCGGCGCGGCTGCCAGGGCCCCTCTCGTGCCCCTCCGACAGAATCTTTGGCCAGACTCCCTTTTGCGATTCTCCCGAACCGATTTGGTGCCAAGGAGAGATCCTTTCCCCCTGTCCACAATACGGCTTGGCGGCGGGATCCGATGTTTGTGTGATGGCGCTCTACCGGCACCGACCGCCGGTCCAACTCGCTGCAGCGGCTCTCTGGGATTATCTTTGGTTATTTCCCATGCCGGTGTTATGCCTGCGTCCCCGTGGCGGCTTCCGTGGTGCCATGCTCCTCCTCTCCCTTCTCGATGTTAATTCCGATGAAGGTAACTCCGGCGTGGCTGAGAAGGTTGGCTTTGGTCAGTTCGTCGCATCGGACCAGCCTTTGGGGTCCGGACCAGGTTTATTTCCAGCCTGGGAGGAGGCTCTGGTAGCCACGCCGACCTCAGCCAGTTCTCTGGAGCATGTATCGTCGTAAGTTTCACCTGTCTATCTCCCTTCCATCCCGTCAGTTTGTTTTCTCATAACCAGTAACATAGCACATGATTTAATCCCTTGCATTCCATGTTGACTGGGCTATTCCTCTTCTCAGTGTGGATCCTGCGTCCATGGTCACATGGTCCTCCTCAGTTGCCGATCATATTCCGTGGTGCCATTGTAGGGAGCCGGCCTCATCTCATGGACTGGATGCGGGTGGTGGATCCAGCTCTCTGGTCAGTTGACCGGAATCCTCTGCTATGGGGTGGATGCGACGTCGGGTAGGACCGATGTTTGACAGAGACAACCTGGAGGGGCCACCTTGTTAATATAGATGTGACATTCCAGTATAAAACAATTTTGGGTGCAATAGGTGCCATTGCTCGTGACTTAAAATGTAACTTTATAGCTATAGCTAATTGGTTCCTTCCACATATCAGTTGTGTTGATGCAGCAGAGATAACAACAATCAGAAACGAAATATACTTAGCAGGACGAATCGAGTGTAATAAGCTGATGATAGAATTTGACTGTCGTTTTGCAGTGGAAGCAGTTCAGCGGGGAGGTGAAAGCACAAGTGCTCCCTGGGTGATTTTGGTAATTAATGTCAACATATCTCTTGTTGGACTAATACTTCTACCTAGTATGTTTCAGATAAGTTCAACAATGGAGTGGCATGGACTAGAGGATGTGGAACCCCTTCAAGATGCTGAGAACAAAGGATTGGCTCAAGCTCAGGACTCTACATTTTATTTTAGTGATCCAAGATCACATTGATCCATAGGAAAGCCAATACTATTAAGAGGGGATGAGGTGTTGCCTAATGGCTTGTTTGCTCAAAGTGCTTAGTGATATGCTCCAAAACGCTCAACTACTTTCTCACATCCACATATGTCCCAAACCAAAAGTCAAACTCGGCCCCACCGAAATTTTCTATCCGGCACCACCGAGTTCTCTTGACATATCCACTGCCAGAAACCCTAATCAATTCGGTCTCACCGATGGGATCTCGGTCTCACCGAGATGGGCTTGCAAACTCTCTGTTGCCTATTGCAATAATTTTGATCCCACCGAGGTATGCAATCGATCCCACCGAGTTTGCTTGGCCAACTCTCTGTTTTTCTTATTACCCAAATCGGTCCCACCGAGTTTGTGTAATCGGTCAAACCGAGATGAGGATTTACCCTAACCCTAGCGCATCGGTCCCGCCGAGTTGATCATGTCGGTCCCACCGAAAACCCTAACGGTCACATTTTGAACTAAATCGGTCTGAACGAGTTGTATGATTCGGTCCCACCGAGTTTTGTGATTTGTGTGTAACGGTTAGATTTTGTGTGGAGGCTATTTATACCCCTCCACTCACTCTTCATTCATGGAGAGAGCCATCAGAACATGGCTACGCTTCCAACATACATTTTCTGAGAGAGAACCACCTACACTTGTGTTGAGGTCAAGATTTTCCACTCCAACCACATAAATCTTGATCTCTAGCCTTCCCCAAGTTGCTTTCCACTCAAATCATCTTTTCACCAAATCCAAATCTTGTGAGAGAGAGTTGAGTGTTAGGGAGACTATCATTTGAAGCACAAGAGCAAGGAGTTCATCATCAACACACCATTTGTTACCTCTTGGAGAGTGGTGTCTCCTTGATTGGTTAGGTGTCACTTGGGAGCCTCCGTCAAGATTGTGGAGTTGAACCAAGGAGTTTGTAAGGGCAAGGAGATCGCCTACTTCGTGAAGATCCACCTGAGTGAGGCAAGTCCTTCGTGGGCGACGGCCATGGTGGGATAGACAAGGTTGCTTCTTCGTGGACCCTTCGTGGTTGGAGCCCTCCGTGGACTCGCGCAACCGTTACCCTTCGTGGGTTGAAGTACCTATCAACGTGGATGTACGATAGCACCACCTATCGGAACCACGCCAAAAATCTCCGTGCCTCCAATTGCGTTTGCACACTCCAATCCCATCCATTTACTTTCCGCTACTCATATACTCTTGTCATGCTTGCTTGATACGTATTGTGAATGTTTAAACTTGTGCTAAAACTCTACTTAAACCTAAAGAAGTTAAAAACTGCAACTTTTCTTACTTAGAGTCTATTCACCCCCCCTCTAGACACCTCTTCTCGATCCTTTTAATTGGTATCAGAGCATTGGTCTCCATTGCTTTGGTTTAATCACCATTGGAGGAAGATGGATGAGTCTACGTTGGGGAGTCTTAGACATAGAGTGCCTATTCTTGATGGAGAGTTCTTTCATGATTGGAAAAATGAGATGCTTGAGATTTTCAATGAATATCATTTGAACAAGTACATTACTAGCCCTTGTGCACCTCATGTTGATCCTTTTCATCCTACCCTTGATGAGTCTATTGACATGATCCACAACCTTAGAACTGTTAATCTTATCACTAGAGGCTTGCCTAGAAACTTGATTGGATGTTTGCCTACTCTTGATTGTGCCTACACTATATGGAGATTCCTTGAGGAACATTTTCCAAACTATTCCTTGAAGAACTTAGATGTGATTCTTCATAAGTCCATTGCCTTGATTAAGATGAGCTCCAATGATCCAAAATTTGGTGATTGCTTATTTGAGCTTACAAATCTTACGAGTGCCAAAGGAGATGTTGGAATCATTAGCAATATCATTTCCGAAGTCATTAGAATTCATAGATATGAACATTGTTACAGTCATACTTCTAATGAATTACCCTCTCTAGGAGTTGATCAATCACAAGACGATGTAGAACATGGATACTATGATGAGTATGATGATAGTGACTATGATCTTGATGATGCAATGAGACACTTTGGTCTTATGGCTAATCTTCGCGGCTACATGGTTGGAGGAAAGGAATGGGTCCTTGATAGTGGATGTATTGATCATATGACCGGAGACAAAGATATGTTTCATGAGCTTGCTGAAAACAACGACCCTCAAAAGTATGTCACTTTTGGTGATAACTCAAAGGGTAAGGTGGGTGGCCTTGGTAAAGTGGCCATCTCACATGATAGCTCCATACAAAATGTTATGCTCGTTGAATCTCTTGGCTAAAATTTACTTTCCGTATCTAGATTTGACGACTTTGGTTTCAATGTCCTATTTACTGAAGTATATTGCCAAGTGTTTCGTAGACATAATCATAAAATGGTCTTTACCGGTATACGTGGAGGTGATCTTTACATTGTTGATTTCACTAAAAAGGCTCAACCTAGAACTTGCTTAATTGTTAAATCCTCTAAAGGCTGGTTGTGGCATAGAAGGCTAGGTCATGTGGGTATGCGAAATCTTGATATGCTTATTAAAGGTGATCATATCCTTGGAGTAAAAGATGTTATATTTGACAAGGATAGACTTTGTAGTGCTTGTCAAGCAGGAAAACAAGTTGGAGGGAGTCACCCCGTGAAGAACATCATGACCACAAGAAGACCGCTTGAGCTACTTCATATGGATCTCTTTGGTCCCAATGCCTACAAGAGTCTCAGTGGTAACTCATTTGGTCTAGTCATAGTCGATGATTTTTCAAGATTTACGTGGGTGTTCTTTCTTAATGATAAATCGCAGGTCCAAAAGATCTTCAAAAACTTCGCTAGGAAGGCCCAAAATCAATTTGAC